ACCTAACCATGGCTCTAGTTCTCTAAAGTTAAGGATATGGTTTAGTCAAATAGGGTCCATGGTTAATTGTCCAGATGCACCGCGTAGAAGCCTAACCGTGAAGGGTTAACGCATGTGGATAGAACACCGCGAGTTTTTTTTTTTTAGAAAAAACTCGCTTCTATGGTTTGGTGAATTCAACATCTCAGATGTACCCTTTGTTGCCAAGAGCGTTCAATCGGGTAGATAGAGCATGAATTCCCATAGGGTTATGTCCATATGTAGAACACATATGGGTTTCAGAAAAGTGAGAAAAAATTCAATCAAGAAGTAGGATCGAGCAAACAATACGAAAAACCGGTCGAAATTAGAACGCATATTTCTGGCTCGGTATTGGGGGAAATTGGCGCCAGCAAACAGGGACTGGCGCCAACTTTTAACTGTAGCGCCTGGCGCCAATACTGGCGTCTGGCGCTACGGCTAAAAGTGTGGCGCCAAGCTCTGGCCCCTGACGCTACTTCCCACATGCCTCAGCAGCTTTCTGTGCTCAATAAAATCATCCATTTTCGCGCGGTGTTATTTCAGTCCTAGTTGTGAAAGACATTTCTCAAATTTCCTACGTGTAAAATCCTATGTTTTTGACTCATTACGGATGGTCTTTCCAATGAGAACCTTTTTATGCATATGACAATAATGTTAATCAAAATTACGCACATGAAATACTTAGAACTTTTCGAGTCTCATCCACTCATTCTAAATCATTGCCGAGACAAATTCAGGAATTAAAATAGATATCCTCCCCAGTGGAGTCGCCAAAAACTGTAGGGAATAATTTCAAGCCTTTAAAATCCCACTAGCTTGAACCCCGCTGTGATCATACACTAAAGTACGGTGGCGTCCAAAAGGGAAGAAGATAGAGCAAAAGAGTCGCCAACAAGTTTTTAAGGAACTTGTAAACCGTTCACGAGGTGAAGGTTACACCCCTTAACAATCCAAGAGATCGTCAACTCCATAAGGTCATGAACCAAATAAGGGTCCGGGGATGATGGTACAAATCCAACCTAAAAGAGATTGAACCTGCCCTAATAATAGGCCTCTACTTTATTCTGCTCGTATTCATGTGCGCTTTCTGACTAACATACAATCAATAGGATTAACCCTAAACCTGTTTAATCTATGTTGGTTGAATATTAATGCACAAACAAACTATTATTGGCGATCACTTGAATTATAATAACAATTAACTTAACAAGATTATTAATTATCTTATTAAGCGTGATTGCAAATACCAATTCCCTTTAACCTGCAATAAAAGGTGATCAAGCAATAACAATATATAATATATATCAAGCAACATAATAAATAATCATCATCAATCATAATCATAAATGTTAGAAAGAACATAGGAAGCATCATATTCTTAATCATACTTAATATTAAAAATACCCTAGACATGATACTAGGAATATCATAATAATAATGTAAACATGATGTCTACATCATAAAATCAATTAATCAATTAAAGTACTTACTTGGATGCCTCGTACCTCTTTCTAATTACAAAATACACACGTTAGTAACTTCAAGAAAAATAATAATCAAAACAATTAAATCAATGTTTGTCTCATAAGTGGGATATTTATACCCCTTCTCTACTAACCCTCTTCTAGGTTTTTCCTAATTCCTTCCCTAATAAAACTTGTTAAAAATTAAACTTTCTAAAAATAAAACCCCAACTTTTAAATAAAATAATTAAATAAACTTTCCTTTAATAATAATATTAATTAAAATACTTTAATAAAAATAATTACAGCTATTTAAATACTTTATAAAATACATACTTTAAATAAAATGCGTATAAAAATACGGGGTATTACAATCCATTAAAGTGAATTTTAGTGCTTTAGTATTTATGGATGCAATTAGAGTAAGAATAAATTGAGGTAACTTTAAAAATAAAATTAGGGTTCTTCTAGAGTTATAGAGGTAGTATATAGGAAAAAAATGATGTAATTGAATTAAACGTAACTGTGTAAAGGAGAAACAAAAAAAAAAGATAAGGACTAAAATATAAATTATGTAAAATTTATTTAATTTAATTTGCTATTAAATTTTTTTAATATTAATATTGATATTTAAAGTGACATGGACCAATCAAAACGAATGGGACATGGAATGGGACATATGAGTGGGATAGAGGATTCGATCCCCATTATGCTATTTAAGAAAAGTTGGCTCACAAGATTTAACAATATAAACCTAAAATTAGGGTGAGAGATTGTTAGGAGTATAATAATTTAATGGGCCATGAAATTTAAATAAGGGTAACAATAAAACTTTCAACAAAAAAAATTCTTGCAACTTGCCAGGTCAATTGACCAAATTGGTATAAAAATTAACACATTTCTGACACGTTGGTATAAAAGTTAACACAAACGATAAAGTATAAAAGTTAGCACCCTTGAGACATATTGATATTAAAGTTAGCAAATAGCGACATTTTTGTTATTATTATTGTTATTATTTTTATTATTATTATTGTTTTTTTTTAACATTTATAGTATTTTCTTATGATTATTAACAAATAATTACAGAAAAATTTGTAAGAGCATAAGTAATTCCAAAAAGACGAATTGAAAGAGAAAGAGAAAGTGATAAATCTAAAAAATATATGGGAAAGAGGAGAAAATGTGTGGGAGAATAGTTTTTGATCAAACATTGTTCATATTGGCATATTTGTACATTGAAGTAGCAAGTAGCTAAATTACTTTTTTTTTTTTATTAATTTTTATTTCATATACTCTTGATTATTATTTGGAGTTTTTAAAATGAGAATTATTCTAGAGAAGGTGTAAGATTTCATGGCTTAAAACTTTATTTTTTTTTATTTATTTATTTATTTTTTGAAACAAAACTTAAAACTAATTTAAATTAGCTTAAAGGTTATAAAATTATAGAAATTATAAACAACTTTTTTTATACTCTTTTATATTGCAAAAATTAAAAGTTCAATGTAAAGTTAAAAAAATGTGTAATTAAATCTGGATCTCGCAATTTTTCTTGAATAACTCTTTTGTATTGTCTTGAACTTTACTCTATTTTATTTTCTTTTTTTTTTCTTTTTTTTTTAGAAAAAATCTTTGGTTGTTCTTCACTTTTTTTAGTTTTAAAAATAATAACCAATACTTAACATTAAGAATAAAGTAAGTAATAAATTTAAATATATGATATATAAACGCACTTACTTTGACATGAAAAAAGGGCTTACTGCCATTGTTTACTAACATTTTTACCAATCTGCCGGTTTATGTAAACTTTTATATCAATTTGTCTCATTTTACTAACTTGGTTATTATTTATTAATTTTTAGGGAAATTCTCATTGGTAACACTATAGTTTTTATTTTTCTCAGTGGTAAATTGTAAATATTCTTATTATCCTTGGTAAAATTTAATTAGTTATAATTCTTAACCGTGGTTAAAATTTTTTTAATTAAAAAAAATAAAAGTTCTTAAAATATCCTCACTTTATACACTCAAATTCCTAAAATACCCTCAATCATTTCATATTCCCCTCTTTCTTCCTCCTCATCTTCCTCACCTTTCTCAATCGCCACCCAATTACCACCTTCGCTCCTTGACGGCCAGCTTTTCTCGGAGAACTTGCATATTTTAACGCCGCCACTCTGATACATCGGACAAGGTTAGGTACGTTTTTATTTTAGTCTGGCAACCACAAGGCCAACCAATACTTGCTGCTACTTCCTACACTGGCTGGAACGTTGCGGCAGCTTCTCCATCGCCCCCACCTACGCCGGCGCCCGCGCCCAGCGCCTCCCTCACCGTGTGCCGGCCTCCCCCACCCCTGTCGCACCTCTCCCTCCCCCTGAACCACCACTGTACCCCCTCCCCAAACAATCCCTCAAATCCTTGATCAATCTATCCTCCTCAAACGACATCCGCTGAATTTGGCTGAATCTCCCCAATTTGACCCTCCAAAAGCCTGATTTCTTCTGCAATTTTGAATGATTTGTTGGTTAATTTCTGCAATTTCTCCTCCAAATTATGATAATGGCGAAAATGGCGTTAAGTTCTAATCCTAATTGGAAGAGATGAAGGGAAATTGAGGGACAAAGAGAAAGGAGGGAGGGTGGGCCGCCGAGATAGAAGACGAAAATAGACGGTCGAGGTAGGAGTTTGTTGCTATGGTGGTGTTTTCCGGCTTCATCATTGGATTGTTCTTCATTATCATGAAAATGCCTGCTAGGAAAGGGGTTGTGGTTCTTCATAAGTGCTTGTTTCTTATTTTTTGCCTCAAATTATGTTTCAGCCATTCGAACTCCATTTGTTTTTTCTATGTTGGAATTTCGCCATTGTTGAAGCTTTAAAGTCAAGAAGATGATGGTGATGATGAAGGCCACGGTGGTGGAAATGTGTCAGCTTTGGGTTATTAAAAGGGAGGTGTTAGTTAGGGTGGTTTGGGAAATTTTTCGAGGGTATTTGTGTAACTCCATCTATTGTTAACCATGGTTAACAATTGTTAGTTTAATAATTGGGTTTAATGTCATTAATGCTATAATTAATATAATAGTTATAATACAAGATTACCACTGATAATAACTTTTTATCTAATTTACCAAAGAAAAAAAAGTGAAAATTGAGTGTTACTAAAGAGAATTTCCCTAATTTTTATAACAATATGTGGCAAGGGTGTTAATTTTTAGACAAATGTGGCTAATTGGCCCAACTTGCCATATTGTAATATTTTCATTTTAAAATAGTATTGTAAGTGAAAATGGAGAAAGTAGGAGTACCTAGTACCTGATGTTGGATACCTAAAACCGAATACCCGATGTTGGATACTTCGATACCACTAGTATGAACCATGAGCCATCAATAGACAAATTCTGCCTATAAAATGAAACAACTCAATGAGTCATCTTCTCTTCTTCATAGTACACTATTCTTAACAATAGTTACACTAAAAAATCATCCTTGGCCACCGTATTATAGCTAGCCAATATGTGGAAGCCAAACATTGTAGTATCCTCCATTATCATCTTGTTTTCCCTCTCTTTCATTTGCATCTCCAATGGTGAAACAACCCCGTCGTGTCCACCATTGGAAGATCTCAATAACAACTCTGTCATAGGCATCTTGAGCCATCCTCGCAAATATAATGGCTCATACATCCCCGCCTCGTACGTCAAGTTTGCCGAGGCTGGTGGTGCTAGGGTTATTCCACTCATCTATGCTGAGCCTTGGAGTGTTTTATCTTCCGTAAGTAATAGTAACTATTAACTAGCTATATTGTTGTTGTTAGTGACTTAGTTATGATTACTGTATTAGAGTTTCTGGATAAATGAGCTTAAAAAATTACAAATGTAACTAAATTTATACTCCCTCTCTGTGTTTAAGCTAATTTAATAATTGACTTAAAAAAAATCAGAAGAAAGTGAAGTAATTAGAATATTAAAAAAATTGCAAAGAAAGATAGTGTGCTTAATCATTTATCGAGAAGTAAATAATAAAAAAAGTGTTAGTGGGTTTAAATAGGGACAATAAAAGGAGAAAAATAATACAGAGTATATTAAAATATAACTTTTTAACAAATAAGAAAGTGTAAATACTTAAAAAAACACTGATGTGTTTGGTAGGTGCAACGGCTATTAAACCATGGAGGGAGTAAACTTCTTTGTTAAATTATCTTTAATTCAAGTGTACACTACAGGAAACGGTGTGACTTTTGCTACGTTCATTTTTTAAATTAGTTAATGATAATTACTATGTGCGAAATAGTTTATAATAATAATTTGTTTTCCTTTTTAATTTACTCCTGTTTCTATGTTTGAATGTGATGCAGAAACTTGAGTTGGTAAATGGAGTGATCTTGACTGGAGGAGTTCGGAAATATAGCTCTTATCTTTCTGTTATCACAAAAATTCTTCAGGTGCACATTTTACATGCATATATTTTCACATGTCAAAGTTAAACTTTACTCGTACATTTTAGTTCCTCCATCTCCCCCTTTCCTCTTTCTCGACATAATTAACCACCATCATAAAATACACAATATGACAGACACTATCACAACCATAAATTTCATTATATACGTAGTATGAGAAAAACAAAATTAATTAAGGAATGATAACTAATGACTTTATCTATATAAATAAATGAGTTTTTTTTTTTTTTTTTTTTTATATGGATAAGGTAAAAGAAAATTTAAAAGGAATAATTCCACATTTGCTACTTTTGCTCAAGGAAAACTTTTGTATACACCCGGTTTTCAATAATTTACTGTACATCGGGTACACTTTTGTCAGATTTAGTGTCACTTTTGTCAAATTTAGTGTCACTTTTGTCAAATTTATCAATAAAGCATAAATAACTCTTATACATGTCACGGTAACTTTTGTGCGTTTTAGTGTAACTTTTGCACATTTTATTGTCACTTTATAACGAATGTTCTACATTTTATTTAAAAGTTTGTGTTTGCTCAAAACAATCTCATTGTTGAATAATCTTAGAATAAGCCCAGATTTTACTTGAAGACGTGACTTGTCACGTGTCACGTTTTATTCTATATTATTTTGAAATTAAAAAAAAAAAAAAATTCCCGTCCCATTCTCGTTCCCTTTCCCTCTTCCCCAATACCCCTCCAGGCCCCACCTAACACTCTCCAATCTAGAGCCAACTCCACCCCCCCCCCCTTCCATGCTGAACAATAGCCCCCCACGGCCCCACCCCCTTCCTCAAGTTCTCCTTCCAGGTTTAGGGGTGAAGGTGGGGTTTTTGTGAGGGGTGGAGTTCGGCTCACAGGTGGGGCTATAGGTTTCGAGGTCCACCTGTGCAGTGGGGTGGGGATCAGGTGAGAAAGGGTAGGTTGAGTGTTCGAAGTGGGAACAGGTGGGATGAAGTTCTTGCCTTCTTGGCCTTTTGGGGTAGGGGTAAGGTGTGGGGTGTTGAGCGGACAGGGATCCGTTGGTCCAGCGAGCCAAGGTGGGGTTGGGTGTTCGGGGGTGAGGGTTTGGTGGGATCAGGTTGTGCTGTGTGGGTTGTGATGAGGTGGTAGTTATGGAGGGGTGGTGGTCATGGTGGGCTGCCATGGATGAGGGTGGGGAGGTGGGAGGAGAAAAATTGCCTGAAGAAGAAAAAAATAACTTTTAAATAAACAAGTTGTAAGTAAATGAGCCTATTTTGGCCCACTGGGGCGGATTCGGGTAACAGTGGCTCGGGGGATTGGGAAAAGTATCTCAACCTGTCGCCTGATTCAGAAGGTCAGGGCCAGGAAAATAGCGAAGCCGGGGCCGCTTCTCGAAAAAGAGGGAGGAGCACTGATCCCAGAGAGGACGTCAGGCCTTCTTCGGTAAGGGGACGACTGGATTCGGTGAACGCTCCCGAAACCTCAACCTCATCGAGCTCCCTGCATAGTTTTGAATAGATTCGCAAAACTAGGCTTTTTTCGAGAGTATTCAAACGTTGGATTGTTTTGAGTAAAAGTGGGAAAAAGTTGAATTATTCACCTTTTCCAAGGTAAGTTAGGAAACAATAATGAGATGAAAAATTAAAATAGGAAACAATGACATGAATAAATGGAGAAATTTTGAGGGTATCCCTACCTTATAAAAAGTGGGAGAATATTTTTAGGAATAGTGTGAAGACTATTATACCCTTAAAAAAGTTAATTTACATATTTGCCCCCAATTAAAATTAATTTTGATCTATTTAAGTATTTAACCTTTCATATTGTTGTCCTTTAGTTCTTTTGTTTATCGTTCTTCTTATCATACCACCGAAAAGGCCAAATCTCTTCATTTCTCAATTTCCTCTTTTCTCACAAACTCTTTTTCTGGTTGCTGGAAAATACTACTCCTTACTAACATGTCAGTTTCCATTCCGGTACCCTTGGTCACCACACACCGCCGCGATAATTCTATAAGGATGATGACCTTGCTTGTTGTTTTTTTATACTAAAGGAAATGTAAAGTTTGTGCAATCTATTTGTTTATGTTATACGAAGAGGTGAATAAGGTTAGAATTTGGGACAGCTCAAGATTGGTGGAGTTGACGGATGAATGCAATAATGGTACCTTCGTACTGGTTGAGTGTAATTGCTTGGATACCATTAAAATGATTAAAAAAAAACACCCATAAGAGTAATACTTTTGATGTAATCTCTTTTAGTTGTGTTTATAGGAGAGTCAAACAAAGCAACTCTTTTGTTGAGTCTTCTAAGGAATGTAGCAGTTATGTCTCACATATGAGGTATTATAGTCTTATGCTTTTGATTAAGAGGTGTTTGAAGATGTATTTTGCTTTAGTTATTGTGTCATTGTCTCGATTTTTTATCCTAGGAAAAGCTTATAGTTTATGATTATAGGAAAGAGTTAAGATGTACTCATACATCATCAGTTAAATACTCGTTTCTCATAAATGCTATTTCCTCCATTATATGTTCCAAAGACTATCTAATTGCAGGTAAATATACTAGTTCACAAAGCTTTTGTGCCAGGGTGTTCAATGAGGGTTTTGTCCTCTCCATACACTCCTATTGTAGTCATAGAATGATGCAATAGCTTTGATTGCCTTTTTATATAGTAATACGTAACATTGGCGAGTTATAATATATATGATCACTTTCAAAATAAATAATCATAACACAAAACATGTTTCTACAATTAAATAAATTAAGATATAATCTCTTATTGATCGACCTAAGATAAGTATAATTCAACAGTAACTCAAAGTACGTTAACTTTGAGGTTCGAATTTATAACTCCCCTATGATGGCTAGTTGTATCGCGCGCATAGGCTTCCCTAGTTTTATATGAAAGGTATGAGTAAAATTATGTAAAATTGAAATAAAATGTTAGAAACAAACTCAATAACCTGATTCAAAAGGTAAATATTTTGAATGAGCACTTTATAACCTAAACCTAATTATACTCGAACCTGCATTTTACAAAAGAATATGATTTTAACTTAAGGTTGTAATTTTTTAACCCAATCAATTTTGGATTATCTTATTATTAGGGAAGGGAAGTGTCATTTTATATTCAAGCCACAAGAATAAGATATGTGGATTTTATTTTACCTCTTAAATTGACATGTCCCTCTTGTAGTCTTGTTAATTAATTTCTATGTCTTCTGCAGAAAGTAAAGGAGAAAAATGATGGTGGAGAACACTTTCCTCTCTATGCTATCAACCTAGGGTTTGAACTGTTAATAGAACTCGTTAGTAAGGTAATGTAATTTTATTTGCAATATTGTAATTTTTTAGGCTTTTAATCATCTTGAAATGACTACTCCCTCTGTTTCCAAAAGTACGACCCTTTTGGCCTAATTTTAGTCCCAAAATAATCGACTCATTTGTACTAAAATATCTACCAATTTACAACAATATTTGTACAAAATTAGATTTTCCATATAAGCTTTTGTTTTTTCATATATTTTTAATACTTTATCTCTCTATTTTTTTACAAACCCCCTATAAATTTATCTTTCCAATATGTTTTTATTTCTTTTTATTTAAGTTTCTTAATAACCGCGAAATCAACCCAAAAGGGTCGAAGTTTTGGGATGGAGGGATTATATTTTTTCTTTACTCCCTTCGTCCTTTTTTTACATTCATGCTTTCCTTTTTTAGTATTCCAAAATTACATTCCTCCTTTCCTTTTTTAGTAAGTATTTTTTTTTTTCAAATATCCCAAGTTATCCTTCTTTTTCTGTTTTGTAATTAATGCACACTCTTATTTTCCTATTCTCACTCTTATTTTCTCCCTAAAAAAATTTAGAATCCTTGTGCCTAAATTTAGATGAATATGATTGGCTCTTAATTTTCCAATAGGAGCATGTTATTGGTCCTTTTTTTTTTTTGCAAAGGATTGATGACATGGCATCATTAAATATTATTATATCTTTGTTTTACTCAAAGACATCATTTAATATTTTGTATTCCCATTGTGTTTTGTTTTATTGTTATTTGTTTTATTCTTAGTTTCTTTATTCTTGTGTAATTTTACAAACAATAATGTAAAAAAGGGTCGGAAGGAGTACCAATCAATAAAATTTGTAAATCGAAAATATAAATGAAGTTTTTTACTTTTATTTATCTAGTTATTTTTTTATTGTATGCACTATATATAGAACAACGATGTATTGGAAAGTGTTGATGCACAAAAGTTGACAACCAAACTTCAATTTGAGGATGTGCCCGTAAGAGGAATTGTTTTGGGAAGGTAATTTGTAACCCATTTTTATCTCTCTTAATATTGCAAATTAATTCTAACCTAATAAACTAAGCATTTTACTAACTCTTCATATTTATTAAAATGTTTTTATACTTTGTATTTATTTTTCTAATATTTGCAAATTTTGGCAGTTTTCCTTTATATCTAAGGAATAAGCTGAAGTCGGATTGCCTTGTCTCACTCAATAACAAAGTAAGTTCTATAATAATAACAATAATAATAATAATAATAATAATAATAATAATAATAATAATAATTTTGGTAATACTATATGTAGCCTTAATGGCTATATATAAACATTAAATACACTATTGAAAATTGTATAAAATTAGGAATTCATAATAAAAACACGCGTAAATCAGTGTAATTAGTGTTTATATTTTTATGATTTCTTGACAGTTTACGATTTTTAAGTGTAAATTTTATACTTATATGTAGCACCGAGAACTATGTATAGCATTTTCCAAATAATAATATATTAATATTAATCAATGATTTGTTCAAGACAAATTATATAAATCACAAAGATCATGAATTTATGGTGAAGATTGGACCGCTGGACTAAGAATGTGAACTTTTATTTCCTACCCAATACGGTAGCTTTAGAATGATGATTTAGTTCTAATTAGACAACGCTATTTCAACAGTATGGTATAACAAGGGAAAGATTCCTTAGTGATAAAGAACTATCTGGTTTCTTCAAAGCCATTACCACTTCCAAAGACAAGAATAACAAGGTACGTATAATTTTCAACCCTTTAACTTATTATCTTACCTAGCTATTAGCGTATTATGTGAAAGTTTCTTAAATTTTTGTGTTTTCTTTTTTCCTATAGGATTTTGTCACCACAATACAAGCTTATGACTACCCTATTGTAGGCTTCCAGTGGAATCCTCAGGTTACATGGTTACTCCCTTTTTTTTTCTTCTTTTTTTTCAACTTAGATCGTGTTAGCAAGCTGAGCTAGACACTTTGAGGATACAAATCCCCTTATCTTCAAAGTGTTATTAGTGAAGATTGAACCTCCAACCTCAATGCTGGAAAGTTCTTTCTTTACCACTAAATTAAACCACCATTTTATTGGTAAAATGTTACATATTTGTATATATAAAAGCCCTTTTACTACTCAGTATAGTATTCAGTAATTATACAAATTTTTTAGAACGCAAGATTAGCTATGTGAGCTTAATTAAATTGCTTTGTGTTTGGATGCAGAAAAATGCATTTGAATGGGGATCACCGGAAATTCCTCACTCTTTGTATGCAATTCAAGTAACACAATATGCCGCAAACTACCTTGTTAGGTACATATTTTAAAATGAACAATTGAACTTTCTCAAGATCTTATATGTACATGCTACTTATTAATTTTTGTTGTGCTAGAATTTTCACCCCAAAATTCCTATGTTCTACAGGTAAACAGGTTACAGGTTGCAGATTAGTGACATACAGGTTGAAGATAGCTGCAAAGCCAAACCAAGCAACTGAGCATATTCTCAAGGAATATTCCTAGGAATCTTCAAGTGGAAAAAGATACAAAATCCTATCCATGGAAATCGGAACCACTCCCAGCAGTATAGTCGTTGAGGAAGACCAATTCAAACGTGGGAATAACAGACCTAGAGACGTGGAGAGAAAATAGGAGTAACTTTGGCCATCAGCTCCGGATTCCTAGGGATTGAGGGGAAGAGCCGTTGAAGGTCTTTTGAATGCTTTCCTAGTATATAAGGGCAGGCCTAATCATTGTAAAGGGGCATCACAAAAATATAAGAGCCTTACTACTAAGCATAATCATAGCGTTAGTAAATTATTATCATTTAACTAATAATCTGTAGCCTACATTGTAATCTGTTCAACCTAAATACTTAGTGGATTGGTGGACTCATAGCCGCTCACAGTTTTTACCCTTGTTCTTGGGGTTTTCTGCGTCATCATCTCATGTGTCTTCTCCCCCTTTTCCCTTTTTCCCTTCCGTAGATCTCAATTAGCAATTTTCTTCATTTAAATCTAGCTGTAGCTATCGTAACCCAGGTCGAACCTGGCAATAAGTTTTTTGACCAAAACAGTTTGGCGCCGTCTGTGGGGATACAATTAGATAATTCGGTTTATCCTTCATCATGGGAGAAGATCCTGATCCAAATGCAAATGCATTAATCGAGCAATTGCGAGAAGAGCTGAAAGCCTCCATAAAGTGGAGCCAGAAGCTCGAAGAAGAGTCTCAAGAAACCTTAGCGAGGCTCAAAGCTGAATATGAAGCATCCCTGGAGAAGTTGTCCAAGGAACTCGAATCTGTTAGGAGCAATAAGAAAAAGAGGGTAAAAACCGATGACATATCCCAATTCACCATGGTATCCTCCGATGAATTTGAAGGTGAAGATGAGAGAGAAGGATCTCGTGATAATGAGGAACAATCTGGAGGGGATCCCAACCCTATGGCCAGGGAAGTTGCCGTTATTAAAGCCCAAAACCGGAAAATGATGAAACTCCTGACCCGCCTAGGTGCTCCTAAACCTGTAGCTTATGAATCTCGCGATGGATTCACTGAATCCCCCTTTGTGGAGGAGATTGCTAAAGTGCGTATTCCCACAAAGCTGAGCATCCCCTCCTTCCCAAAGATGTACAATGGAACCACTAATCCTCAAGATCATGTGGCCCAGTACAAGCAAAAGATGTGGCAATTGTCAATCCCATGGGAACTAATTGAACCTACCATGTGCAAGTCCTTTGGCGATACTCTATCAGGACCTGCACTCCAATGGCTTATCAATCTAAAGCCAGGTACCATCGCCAGCTTCTCCAGCTTGGTGAACAAATTCTACCAGCAATTCGCTACCAGCCGGGAGCTGGATAAGCAAAGCAGTGACTTGTATCGAATCGTTCAGAAGCAGAACGAGACAACCCGACAATACTGGGACAGGTTCAATCGAGAAATGGTCAGCATAAAGAAATGTGACCACTCAAATGCTATTGAAGCTTTTCGCAAAGGTCTCAATTACAGATCCAGGTTATATTATGAGTTGACAAGATATCCTTGCTGCTCGTTTGAAGAGGTTAGAACCAGAGCAATGGCTGAAGTCCGTGTAGAAGAGGATGAGCATGCCAGGAACTGGATTGAAAGGATACCATCAGGGTATTCGGGGAACCAATCCTTCAGCAATCAAAACTCCGGAACCCGGCAAGGTAGCTGGCAGCCAAGGCGCAGCAATGTCAACAACATATCCGAGCTAAAACCAGGTGAAAGCTCTAGCTGGCCAGCAACAGAATACCACCCAGATATCAGCTCATATGGTTTCGATACTGATATAGTGGGAGTGGTGAACGCTCTCAAAGATATTGGGCAACCGGTGAGGTGGCCTAGGAAAAGCGACAAGCCTGAGCACCAGAAAGATAAATCAAGATGGTGCGAGTACCATGGAGATCATGGGCATAGGACTGACGAGTGTAACAGTCTTAAAAGAGAAGTAGCCTGGCTGCTCAAGAAGGGCTATCTAAAAGACCTCCTCGCAAAGAAGGGAAAAGGACCTGAAATCAAGCGGGAAGCCTTGCCAAGTCCACCAGCTTCACCCACCCCAGGTGTTGTGATTCAAGCAATATCAGGAGGATCTAGCATCAGCGGTCTAACCTACTCCAATGAAAAGCGTATAGCAAGAGTTGGCACCTCAGCGTCCAGCATCCCCCAAACTTATCCAAGCAGTGAAGAAAAGAAGCTAGACGATATGGAAGTCGTGTTCAATGAAAGTAGATTCAATGAGCCCGAGCATCATGATTGCTTGGTAATCTCCCTCCATGTGGGTCACTGCAAGATGAAGAGAGTACTGGTAGATAATGGAAGTTCGACCAACATAATTTTCAAAGACGCCTTAGATCAAGCCGGCTTCAAAGAGTCAGATATCACCAAGAGGTCCACAGTTTTGGTTGGGTTCAATGGCGAACCTATGAATTCCCTGGGAGAAATCCAGCTGCCAACGCTGCTCAAAGGAATCAACATGATGCACAAGTTCTATGTGATAGATTGCAAAACTGCTTATAATGTGATAGTAGGAACCCCTTGGATCCATAAAATGAAAGCCATCTACCTATCACCAGCTGCTCAAGTTTCCAAGCCCGTGGGGAATAGCAGTAGTCGAAAGAGACAGAAAGCAAGCGCAAGAATGCTACCAGCTCGCCCTGAAACCTCATGGCCCCGTCATTTAGCAATTACAGAAAAATCCAGCACCCAAGCGTCCAGATGAACTACAATTAGATGAAGTCGTGCTGGATGAGTCAAAGCCGGAGCAAAAGGTTAAAATCGGAGCTGCATTGGTGGCAGAACAGAAAGAAGCTATCATCAAGTGCCCCATAGAAAATTTAGATTGCTTCGCATGGCCACACCAAGATATGACGGGAATCAGTCCTGAAATCATCACCCATAAGCTAAACGTGGATCCCAGCGTAAGGCCGATAAAGCTGAAAAGGAGGAAATTCGCCCCAGAACGTAATCAGATCATCAATGAAGAAGTTCAGAAGCTGCTAGATACCGAGAAGATAAGGGAAGTTAAATATCCAGATTGGCTAGCTAACGTGGTTGTCGTCAGCAAGAAGAATGGAACATGGAGAGTCTGCATAGACTTCACAGACCTGAATAAGGCGTGCCCCAAAGACCCGTTCCCTCTCCCTCATATAGACTCAATGGTAGATGAAACAGCTGGCCACGAACTCCTCACCTTCATGATGCATATTCCGGCTACAACCAAATCTTGATGCACCCGGACGACCAAGAAAAGACGGCTTTCATGACAGATAAAGGAATCTACTACTACAAAGTAATGCCGTTCGATTTGAAGAATGCAGGTTCAACCTATCAGAGGCTAGTTAACAAAATGTTCAAGGACCAACTGGGGGACACCATGGAAGTCTACATCGATGATATGTTGGTGAAGTCCAAGAAAGCAGCTGATCATGTGAACCATCTGGAAGAAACTTTCAGCATCCTCCGGAAGTATAAAATGAAGCTAAACCCGTCCAAATGTTCATTCGGAGTAGATGCAGGTAAGTTTCTGGGCTACATAGTCACTCAACAAGAAAATCGAAGCTAGCCCAGACCAGGTACGCGCTGTAATTGATATTCAATCACCTAGAAACCTGAAAGAGGTGCAAAAATTAACAGGTAGAGTAGCTGCATTAAATAGGTTTATTTCGAGGTCATCAGATAAATGTCACCTTTTTTACAACGTCCTAACGAAAGATAAAGGTTTCACTTGGTCTGATGATCACGAAAGGCCCTACAGGACCTCAAACACTATTTAATGACGCCACCTTTGCTATCTAAACCTACTGAGGGAGAGTCTTTACAGCTTTACCTCGCAGTCAGCACCCAAGCTATTAGTGTTGTCTTAGCAAGGGAAGTTGAAATTCAGCAATTACCTGTTTACTACGTAAATAAAACTCTCCTCAGTGCTGAAACCAGGTACTCCTCTCTTGAAAAACTGGTATTAGCACTGATTGTAGCTAGCAGGAAACTTCGCCACTATTTTGAAACTCACCCAATAGTGGTAAAAACTAACTACCCTGTGAAGGCTGTTTTACGCAGAGCAGAGTTAACAGGTCAAATGAGCAAATATGTAATTGAGCTCAGTGGATTTGGTATCACATACGAACCAAGAACAGCTATCAAATCACAAGCGCTAGCCGACTTTGTGGCTGACTTCAGCCCTGATCTTGAACAACAAACAGCCATATAATCTGAACAGATTAACCAAATCCATAACCCAGGTACCTAGATACTCTATGTTGATGGTTCATCTAACTTTTGGGGTGCAGGTCTCGGTGTAGTGCTGAAGTCGCCACAGGGGGACATGATGGTACAAGCTATTTGTTGTGATTTTAAAGCTACTAACGATGAGGCAGAATACGAAGCTTTGATTGCAGGTATGAATCTCGCAAAGGACCTAGGTATTACTAACCTGCAGGTATTTTGTGACTCTTTCTTGGTAGCAAGTCAAATGAACGGTGAATTCACGGCTAAAGACTCCAAGATGGTTCTATACCTAGACTTTTCCAAATCCTTAGCAACCAAATTCGCAACCTTCACCATAAAGCAAATACCTAGGGACAAAAACACACAAGCAGACGCTCTAGCCCATCTAGGATCAGCCTTAAGAAAATCCAAATTCTCCTCTATCCCCTTGATCCACTTGTTAGCTCCTACCGTTGACACGGCCAATCGCCCACCTAAACCTAGCATTCCAGAACCTGTAAAACCAGACCCAGACAATCCAGAAATATCCACCCCTACTCCGAACCAACCTATTAAGATTGAACCTGAAGAACCCAACTTCATTGCACCTGTGACCAACCCAACCAGCTAGATGCAACCCATATTTGATTACCTGGAACGCGGCACATTGCCAAAAAACAAAGCAGAAGCAAGGGCACTCAAGTTTAAATCCAGCAGATGCACGATCATCCAAGGTGTCCTATTCAAAAATTCCACCAGAGGTATCTTGCAACGTTGCATTAAGGAAGACGGCTACGAGCAGATCCTCAAAGATTTCCACGATGGAGAGTGTGGAGCCCATTCAGCTGGAAGAACTTTAGCCAACAGGATACTTGCTTATGGGTACTACTGGCCAACTCTGCGAGAGGACGCTCACAGGTATGTACGAAAATGTGATAGCTGTCAACGACACTCAGGTATTACTCATAAACCCTCCATGCCTCTACATCCCACTTTGACACCTTGGCCTTTCATGAGATGGGGCATGGACATAGTAGGCAAATTACCTGCTGCCCCAGGTCAAAAGGTCTACATGTTAGCTCTAACAGATTATTTTTCTAAGTGTATTGAAGCAGATGCGTTCCAACAGGTCAGAGACAAAGAAGTTATCAACTTTATCTGGACTAACATAATCTGTAGGTTCGGAGTACCATCTGAAATAGTGTGTGACAACGGATCCCAATTCATAAGTGCCCCAACCGGAAACTTCTGCGACAAATGGAACATCACGTTAGTCACCTCGACGCCCAGATACCCTCAAGCAAACGAGCAAGCCGAATCCAACAATAAGGTTATCATTGGGTCTTTAAAAAAGAAGCTGAAGGACAAGAAAGGTAAGTGGGGAGAAGAGTTGCCAAGAATCCTTTGGGCCAACAGAACCACACCAAGAACCGCCACAGGTCAAACATCTTTCTCATTGGTCTATGGATGTGAAGTCGTACTACCTACAGAAGTCACCACTCCAACAGCTAGATACGGCTTGATGACACCAGAGCGCAACAATGAAGAACTATCAAACGACCTAGATACCATAGAGGAACGAAGAGACCTAGCACACATAAGGATGGCCACCTATCATCAAATGGTAGCTAGAAGCTTCAACAAAAATGTCAAAGCTAGGATGTTCAAAGTGGGAGATTGGATTCTAAGAAAAGTTTTTCAAAATACCCAAGAACTCAAAGCAAGCTGGGAAGGCCCATACCAGATTGTAGAAGTCATCGGCAAAAGGCCCTATAGGTTAGCTACAACAAACGGTAAGCTGGTACCCAGAAGCTGGAACGCAGCACATCTGAAACTTTATCACTTCTAGAGTTTTCGTTCATACAGTAAAAAAAAATGTGCTTGTACATATTTCCTTTCTTAGTTCACCTCCGGAAAAAGATCAGTACTAACTTGAGCTTCGGAGGGTCGTTGGTGGCGGCACCAACGGCCAACTCTAACCTGTTATTTTGCAGAATCAAAGGAACACGAACAGATAACCAGAGGCAATCTGAAAAGCAATAGGATGACACGAGAAGCAAGAGTAATTTCACAATCCTTGCCTCTGTCCATTTAGTTTCAAGAACTCGTACTGACTTAAGCATCATAGCCAACGGCCACCTCTAACCCTTATGATGCAGGTACAGATCCAGATTACTCAATAAACAAAACAACTAAGGGCCTGAGCGCTAGACACCGCAGATTCACAGAGACAAAATCAAAGATAAAGCATATCCAAAAGCCAAAGAATTCAAAGCAAAGCTAAGGTATCATACGATTGCTCAAAGAAAACTAACATGCAATGTTCAACAGCAAAAAACGCAAAGTCTAAATCTTCGCTCCCACAAGCAAAGTAAAAAAAAGTCCAAAAAGAGCAAATAATTATTCTGATAACAGACATCGAAAACCTAGGAAGCAAAAAACATCACGGATCAAGCATCATGTATCTGCTCATCCTCCTCAACTCTCTTAGGTGGAGACTCGGGCTGATGACCTGGAGAAGACTCAGCTGTAGACTTTGTAGCCTCAGGTTCCCCAGGGTCAGCTTCACCATATACTAGGTCCCTGATGTAGCCAACCGTCAGATAATCATCAACTAGCTGTCGAAGTTTCTTCACACCTGCGTCTCCTTTAAACTTTTTCAACAAGAAACTGTTAGCCATATAAGCCTTAATTCTCAGAGTAACTTCAGCCTCAATGTTCTTGTTCTCATCCTCCAAGTTAACCAACTTCTTCTACAGATCTGTCACCTCCTTGTCCTTCTTCTTCAGCTCTTCATCCTTGACTTTCAAGGCATCATCCCTCTTCTTCATCTCCTCTTCGAACTGCTTCTGCTTACCCTCCAGCTACAGGCTAACATCTTCCACCTTCTTCCTAGCTGCTTCTACCTAAAGTTGCAACCCCTTCTTAACCTTGTCAGACTCTAACTGTTTCCTTTCCAAGCCGTCGAACTGGGACTTAGAGTGCAAAATATTTTGGAAACCCTGTTACGCCAATAGTATATCAAATCAGCACAAATCTGTCAAGAAACAAATTAAGCGGAACCAGTTTAGGAGACATACCTGTAGAACCAGTTGAGCCCCATCAGCTAAAGCCAAAGAGCCATCCAAACTCGCCAAACGCTTGGCAGCTGCTGGAAGCAGGAGCTTCTGAGCCTCTGGCCAGATCCCATTATTTGAACCTTCCTCGGCCAGAAAATCAGGAGGGAAACTGACATCATAGGTATCTGGAATAACCACAGCCTCGAAAGGAGCATTAGACCTAGTACGAGGGATCCTAACATCTTCCCTGTTAGAAAGAGTCCTAGAAGAGTTGTTCTCAGCCCGATGAACAGTAGTGTCAATTGAACCGCGTACTGAGCTGTCACCCCTCTTCCTTTTGGCACGTTGCAGTGCCTCTTCTCGAGACATGATAACACTCTTCCCTGGTATGACCAAGAAAACACCAATTCTTAAGCCTAGTACATAGAACCACACGTCAAGCAAACCAATAGCCACAAAAGTTGTACTTGAGGACATAGTAGCACTAGCAGTGGTAGCAGAGGGAGTAGGGTGATCACCAGTAACCTTCCCAGGAATCTGATACAGTGCCCTCACAACTAACTCTGATCCGTCCTCTGGTCTAATAGCATCCAAGCGCAGATCTGCAAAAATTACACAAGTTCAAAGCACTTAGTTAATATACCTTATTCTAAAACCTATCACACCCAAGATTAAGACTTTACCTTTGTGCCAGCCACTCCTAATCCACCTTCCAGATTCCCCCAAAGAATCCTTCAACACAACAAAGAACCTCAATTTCCATGACTTGTCAGGGGTCTCATATCCCAAGAAGGGGGGAGGGTTGTAAGAGGCCCTCCTATAAATTGTGACCTTGTCAAGGTCCTTTTTCCTCAGCACATAACATCTAATAAAATCAGCAGCATTCACCTTTGTTTTCCAATTAACCGTAGCCTCATTAACAATACTAATCAAATTCCAGACCGCAGGCATAAGCTGCCCTGGGCTCAAATCAAAAGTCTCTAGAATTTGCCTAGCCAAGTGAGAAAAGGAATAAGTGAAACCATGTTTAAAAGGGTACTCGTAGAGTATAATGTTATCCTTGCTGCAGAGCTGTGGCCTGTCATCTGGTCCAAGCGCAATCAGCACAACAGATTCAGGGAACCCAGCCGATGCTTTCAGCTCTGCCAAATCAGCCTCCGTAACTTTGCTAGCTTTGTCTTCATCTGCTCTCCCCATCTTAATTTGGCTCACACTCAAGTTCCTAGTCGTATGTCTATGGCATTTTTTCTTAGCAAAATGCTTAATTTTCACCATAATTGAAAACAGTTTTCGCAAGATAAATCAAAGAAAGCAACGAAATTGAGAAATAATAAACTCAATTACTTACCAGGATAGAGAGAGTTGGCAAAGCTTGAATCCACTGCAGTGAAATCCCAGTTTAAATTGCGATGTATCCTCGTCGATCCTATTTCCCCGATTTTTGCAGATCGAAAAACCCTAGATTTTCTGAGATAGTGTTTATCGCAAAAGGGGAAGTAGTTGGAAGAATCCTTACTTATCTATTTATTCCGCATTAATTGTATCTAACGGCTTGAATCTATCTTCTCAAGAATGTTTATCTTTTGCAATGAATTTGAATTTATCTTTAAAGTCGCATTTTGCATTTTTATCTTTTTAACGGATTTTTCTAAGCTTGCCTCGTAGAAGTCACTGGAACATCTAAGAGATAAGCTGGGGGCAAACTGTTGTGCTAGAATTTTCACCCCAAAATTCCTATGTCTTACAGGTAAACAGGTTACAGGTTGCAGATTAGTGACATACAGGTTGAAGATAGCTGCAAAGCCAAACCAAGCAACTGAGCATATTCTCAAGGAATATTCCTAGGAATCTTGAAGTGGAAAAAGATACAAAATCCTATCCATGGAAATCGAAACCACTCCCAGCAGTCTAGTCGTTGAAGAAGACCAATTCAAACGTGGGAATAACAGACCTAGAGAAGTGGAGAGAAAATAGGAGCAACTTTGGCCATCAGCTCCGGATTCCTAGGGATTGAGGGGAAGAGTCGTTGAAGGTCTTTTGAATGCTTTCCTAGTATATAAGGGCAGGCCTAATCATTGTAAAGGGGCATCACAAAAATATAAGAGCCTTACTACTAAGCATAATCATAGCGTTAGTAAATTATTATCATTCAACTAATAATCTGTAGCCTACATTGTAATATGTTCAACCTAAATACTTAGTGGATTGGTGGACTCATAGCCACCCGCAGTTTTTACCCTTGTTCTTGGGGTTTTATGCGTCACCATCTCTTGTGTCTTCTCCCCCTTTTCCCTTTTTCCCTTACGTAGATCTCAGTTAGCAATTTTCTTCATTTTAATCTAATTGTAGCTATCGTAACCCAGGTCGAACCCGGCAGTCAGTTTTTTGACCAAAACAATTTTCTAAGTCTATTTTTGCATGTTTTATCAGTGAGGCTAGGAAGTCTCGCAATGAGCCACCTACTGAACAAATCCTTGACAATCTCATCTACAAATACAACACTTACTACTCTGGAGCTAACGGGTTAGTTACTTAGTTCTCCCTAATGTAATCAATAATTTATCTACAAATACATTCATTGTATTGTTTCGATCTACCACGTGACATGATCAGTCCATACGTACACATCAGTTGGTAATATTTTGCGAAATTGTGGTCGGTCTTGTGTTAGCTAGTCACAGCCGCCACCCAATGGTTACAAACTTACAACTTACAAGTGGTTGCACGTTTGAATTTCACGTCAAGCAATTTAATTAGCGTGATAGTCATTTGGTAAACTCAAACTGTTGCTAATACCATATGTTTTGAAAATGTGCAGGAAAGGATTTGATGAGACTTACTATTTTGATGCGTACGAATCAACAACTTCAATTAAAGCTTTGGCCGAGGAGTAATATTGCAGCTTCAATTTTGATGCGAATGTAATGTACTATTTATTGCCTTTTTATCTTGGAAGGCAGACGATATGCCTTTCTTTAGCTAAGTTCTACTATCTAATTATCTAAATAAAGGGTTTACACACCCAAATTTCAATCAATCATATTTATTTTCCCCTCTTTTGTTTGAAAATTTTGTCAATTACTATAAAAAACAGGTGCCTATGTCATCAACAACCCGTAAAAAAAAGTTGCTAATTACTACGTATCTTACAATTATTACGATTACTACCTTCTTTATTTTCCGATGACTTAAGGCTTTGATCGATGTCCTATTCCGGTGAATTGAAAATCTAGTTTAAGTCTAATTAACTAATCCTACGTTAATTAAATGGATGAAAAATTATACTATTTTTAATTTTAGAATTTAATTCAATTTTTTTTTAAAGACAAACACGGGGAATTAATTTATTGATTCAAGATCCGCCAAAGTTTGAAAACTTTGGGGAATAGAATCCAAACAAATACATTCATTACTAGTATCCGTATCCCATCGAGCAGCTAAGTGAGCTACGGTAATCCCCGCCCGTCTAACATTAACACAACTAAAATTAGCAAACATATTACTCATTCTATAAATATCCTCGTAGAGGTGGAATATTGGAGCAGCTCCCTCCTGCTTATCTCTGACAGCACGCACCACATTCATCGAATCACCTTCAAGGATAACAATAAGTTTAAAAAAAAATAAAAAAAATCAACCCTCACTCCTCAATTCATCTCATCTATACACCTTTTCTTCTTCCATTGATCTGAACTTCATCTTCACCTCTCATTCAATAATCTTCATCTTCTTCTCCCATTAACAATGAAAGAGCAATGCTTAAAGGTTTATTTACTACATTCGTGCTAAATTCCGGCAGGTTGCATAGTCAATGCAGCTTGCTAATGTGCTAAATTAGGCCAGGTTGCATAATCATCATGAAAGATAACCCCCTACGACTGATCTGAAAGCACTTAAGAAAACTGGTACAAGAGTACCATGATGCTTTTGATGCCAAACTAAAGTTATCCAAGGAACACCTATTAAGATACTATGTAGGAGAATTAGAAGAAAAGATCCAACTGCGACTACAGATGTTTTCCCCTACCATGGTATTGGGAATACAATGGTTCTTAACACTAGGACCTATACTATGGGGTTTCAAAAATCTCAATATGGAGTTTAAGCAAGGGCAGAAGAAAGTGAAGCAAAGAGGGGCGAGGGGGATGAACTATCCATGATGTAGTTAATCCTTAGGATTATAAACTAGGGTCCTCATATGAATTCAGTAGAGATGGAAAAAAATGTTGAGAATGAACAAGCTATTTCACTTGGAAGAGTTACTGCAAGAATTTTTAGATGTCTTTTGGGAGAAATTTGATCATCAGATACCATTAAAAGAGGGTAATAATTCCATCAACATTATACCTTATAGATATCCCGTGAATCAGAAAGATGTCATTGAAGAATTGGTGCAAGAATTGATAGATCATAGATTTACTAGAGATGACAACTCTGGTAAATAAGAAGGATGGTGGGTGGAGGATGTGTGTAGACTATAGAACATTGAGCAAGGCTACTATCAAGGTCAAGCTTCATATTCTTGTAGAGAACCAAGTTCTTTTCAAAACTTGATCTCAAATCAGGTTATCAACAGAGCATCCTAATGATGTTCATAAGATAGCATTCGAGACGCACTTTGCTCATTTTGAGTACTTGTTATGTCCTTTGGGTTAACCAATGCTCCATCTATATTTCAATCCTTTGATGAATCATGTCTTGAAACCTTACTTGAGAAAGTTTGTCGTAGTGTTTTAAAATGACATTTTGGTGCATAGTTCTAGTTGGCAAGAACATATCACACATTTGAAGACTATGCTAGAGGTTGGATATGAGAGTTCACTCTTTGCATGCTAACCTCAAGAAGTGTTCTTTAGGTGCAACCTAGATCCATTATCTGGGACAAGTAACCTGATCTCTAAAGTTGGAGTCACTACAGAGCCAAAGAAGATTCAATCTATTCTGGAATGACCTCATCCTAAGACTTTGAAACAACTCATAGGGTTTTTAGGGTTGTCAAGGTACGACAAAATATAAAGGTATGTTAAAAACTATAGGAAGATATTAGACCTCTAACTAATTAATCTACTTAAGAAGGAGGCCTTTCACTTGGATGAATATAATACGCTATTGCAACTTTTGAACCTTTGAAGCAAGCAATGACTTCCCCTCAAGGCTCTACTAGATTTTCAACAACTATTCACCATAGAAATAGATGCTTCTAGAACTGGTCCAGGAACTATGTTAATGTAGGGTGGCCATCCCAATGCATTTTAACAGCAAGGCCTTATTAGCATAGAAGATTTTGCAACTATTAGCTTATGAAAGGGAGTTTCTTATGGCTATGTGTATATATATATATATATATATATATATATAGTGTGGATCATGTGAAAACAAGCCTATAGCTGAAAACTGAAAACGGACAATCAAGACCGTAAATTATGGCCCGTCAAATCTCACGGTTGTGAGTTTTTCCCCAATTTCACTCAAAATTTCTACAGTTTCTCTCTCCTCTTTCATTTGCACGTTATTTTCTTCCTCTTCTATTTTTTCTATCCTACTTTCTCTCTCCTAATTTTTGCCAATTTCATGCTACTTTTCCAAATCCAGCTTCAAATACTTTGATTTTCAACAATTTCTCAGCTCTACGATCTATTATCAAGTGAGTTATTCGTGTTAATTTCGCTATTTTTGCTTGATTTGAGATACTTAGGTTTCTGAAATATTGTTTGCTTTCTGAAATTTTGTTTACCTAAATTTCAAGCATATTTAGGAAATTTAATGTCCATTGTGTTTTTCGTTTATGATTTTTGCTTAATTTTGTAATTTTGCATGTTTTTGTTATTGATTTTTTCGATTTGATTTAAATTTTTGAGTTTCGACTTAATTTTCGTTTTCGTAGGAGTAGTTTTGAACGAATTTTGTTTACTTCCGCTTGATTTTAGTTAATTAGGTTTTTAAGTGTAATTTTTGCTCGAAACTCTGCTCTAATTGTTGTCCTTCACCTTTTTGTAACATGATTTTTGTGTTGATTAGTTCATTAGCTTTCTTAATTAATCCTCTTCATCGCTTCAAAAATGTTACTTGTCTCGCAGTTACATTATCAATCTTCTAGTCTTGATCTTAGTAAATTAGGTTTGAGTAAATTAGAAAATCAAGGTCTACTTATTTTTATTTTTTTAATCATAGGAGTACATGTTTAGTATTGGCAGGAGCTCCATTAGAAGCCTTGCCTTGTTATATGTTGTTGTTCGTTTCGTCGTCATACTCATAAATTTTCATGGCTTTGCTCAACAATTGTACTATGGCTTGGTCATTGTATATTTTTTATTCGTAATAATTTTAAATGATGTTCTCACTTTTTGTTCATTTTTATTCAATTTGAATTAGATTATGTTAAAAAGGAGAGGCCTTCGAAGCTCAACAAGAGTTAATTTGCAAGACATAGGAGGTATGATGAATGTTTGATTTTTGGATTATTATACCTTAATATTCAATTTTTGGAATTATACAATGTTAACGTGTTGGATTATATTACATTAGTGTCAGGAAAACAACAAGAAGAAGGCATGGAGGGTAGGTGTAGCATGGGTAGCAGAACAAGAACAATCCCAACAGTTTCAAGGTGTCCCAAGAATTTTCGCATTAACTCCAAATCAAGCCGAAGGATTGGCGATACTTAAAGCGATCAAAGAAACTCCTGCAGATTTCATCAATCTGGTGATCAAATTAGACTCTGATATAGTGATACATGCCCTACAAATTCAAACCAAGGCGGAGGAAGAGCTCAAACAGGTCATCATAGACATAAAAGACGCAGCAAGTTCTAGAGATTTTATAGCTTGTGTCAAAGTTAGCCGAAATACAGTCTAACAAGCCCACTTTCTAGCAGTTAAATGCAGGAAGTATGGGTAGATTGTCTCTGAGTTTTCTATTTTTACCCACCATAAAAAATAATAATTTGTATATAAACACCATTAATATACGAGTAGTTACCTTATTTTTATATAAAATAGTGACCTTTGTGTAAATATCGTAAAAAAATTATATAGTTACCTTATTTTTTAAATATAGTGACCTATGTGCAAGCTTCAACAAAATTGATATTATAACCTTGTTTGTACAAATGTCGTCAAAATTGTTATAACTTGATAAAGTTAGCTTAATTTTGTATATAGTGACCTCTGGTAAATGATGTCAAATTGATATAATTATCCGAAGTTTATTTATAGTTACCTTATTTTTGTATGTAATGACCTTAGCATGATGGAAATGTTGTAAAATTTGTTTTAGTCACCTTATTTTTGTATATAGAAACCTTTATGTAAATGTTGTCAAAATTGATGTAGTTACCTTATTTTTTATATATAGTGACCTTTATGTAAATGGTGTCAAAAACTCAAAGTAGATATAGTTATCTTATTTATGTACACAGTGACCTTTATGTAAATGTTGTCAAAATTGATATAATTACCTTATTTTTGTATATAATGACCTTTGTGTAAATATCGTCAAAATTGATATAGTTACGTCATTTTTATATATCGTTACGTTATTTTTATATATAGTTACTCTATTTAAATGACGTCAATTTAGATAAAGTTACCTTATTTTAGTATGTAGAGACTTCTAAAACGGTTGAATTGATTATATGTAAGGTTGGAAAGATTTTAGGGCTTTTAAGTCGTCTGATCTTTTATGCTAATAATGAATGGTTGAGATTTGTTGTTTTCAGCATAAGCCTTGTTTTCATCATAAGCCCTGTTTTCAGCGGAACCACCCCGTATGTGTGTGTGTGTGTGTGTGTGTGTGTTGTAGATAAATGCCAACACAATTTAATGACATTACCCTTCACTATCAAGACAGATTAATAGAGTAGGAAATAGTTGCTGGATTACAAGATAATGGCACCTCACCAGCAAAAATGGAAGGTTAGAGTATGTGATTGATGCTTTGTCGAGGATTCATGGTCCTGAGCTTTCAACTACGATAGTTTCCTCTATTCATTCATCTTTATTGGATGAAATTCAGAAGGTTTGGCAAAACGATCCCAATATACAGAAATTGATTAAAGAGATAAAAGAAAATCTTGCTACCCACCCTTACTATACCTGCAGCATGCATAATGTGTTTAGGAGAAAAGGAAGGGTTGGTCATTGATTTTGATGCTGGACTATAAGGCATAAAATATTGCAGTGGATGCATGCCTCTTCTGCAAGGGGTTACTCGGGTGTAGAAGCTACTTTCAAGAAACTTAATTCTATTGGTCAAGCAATAAGAAGACTATCATAGAGTACATAAGGAAAGGATTAGTCTGTCAAAAGTGCATGTATGATCGTAGTGCTTCACTAGGGCTTTTACAACCCTTCCCTATTCCTTACAAGGTGTGGGATGAGGTTTATATGGATTTCATTGAAGGTTTACCGAATTCCTTAGGTAAACAAGTCATTCGGTGGATGTAGATAAGTTAGCAAATATGCTCATTTTATACAACTGTCTCACTCCTATACTGCTCTTAAGGTGGCACAAGCATACATGGATAAAGTATTTAAGTTACATGGTTTCTCCAAGTGGGACAAGATCTTTATTACTAATTTATGGGTGGAGTTTGCAAAATCAGTATAATTGTTAAAGTTATTACCTTCTTCCTACCACGGCACCTCCATCTTCTTCCTTCTTTTTCCTCTTCCCACCATTTTTATTTTAAATCCCGATATTCCATTTAAGCTGCTCGAGTTTTACTCTCATGAACTCCCATTTGCACTATCATATTTCCAGCAGCTTCGCCACCAAATTAAGCGAAAACCCTAAGAAAAATTGGAGAAATAAAGGCATGGTTAGCCCCAAAGGATAGGGGTATCATCCTTCTCCATTGATGCCCCTTGCCATGATCAATTTCTCCATTGAAATTCTTTGTTTCTCCATTGAAGTTCTTTGATTCTCCATTGAGAATCTATTTTTGCTTGAATTCATTGCAATATTAACCCATAAGGTCTGATCCATATGCCTCAAGGATATGAAGTGAGGAACAATGTCACCACCTTACCATATCTCAACCTCATCAAGGTGTATTTTGACATGATCTTAGTGTTTTTTTATGATAAGAACCCTAATCAGACTAAACCCTCACGACTTTTTTAATCCAATATTTGCAGAATACACATTTAGGAGTGTAGAGGGGAGGATAAAGGAATCTCTATCCCCAAGCACGTTAGTATATACGGAATACCAAATATCAATCCAGACCAACTAAAGCTGCTCATCAGAGTGTACCAGAGAGATGGAACACTCCAATTAATAATTAAATGTATTGGTATCCCAGTGTTCTCAGATTATGCCAATTATTTTATAATTTGCCACTTTAGAGTTCAGACAAATCACGTTAATGCAAAGTTAGACAATTCAAGCTTCGCTATATATAAATGACATACTTTGCATTAGGTAATACTGCTAAACTTTACATAATTCCTGCATTCTAAACTCAAAGGCCCTGTACATATTAGGCCTTGTCTAGTACCAAAAAGGGGTTAATATCACTGTAGTTCCAACGTAAAGGTATCAGAATCAGCATTCGCACACTCCAGGTGGGTTATATGTATCAAAATCCTTTAACGTTTGACACGAATAAATCGGTTGTTAATCATCATACATCAGCAGGCAAGTTCAAATCAAAAAATCTGTCTTCAAAATCTGCAGTAGCATGTTTGCTGGAGTAAGCATCCACTCTCAACTTTTGACACGAATAAATCGGTTGTTGATCATCATACATCAGCAGGCAAGTTCAAATCAAAAAATCTGTCTTCAAAATCTGCAGTAGCATGTTTGCTGGAGGAGCATCCACTCTCAACTTGATTCAAACTGAAACTAGAAGATTCTGCCCTAGCACGTTTTCTTGAAGAGCATCCACTCTCAGTTTGATTCAGAACCAAGTCTGTAGATGACTCATCTGACCCCTTCACTCCTATATGTATAAGAACCAAGCCCGTATGTATCAGTAGCTTTCGAAAGACCAATTGGCGTTATTCTATCTTCAAACTTTCTTCACTAAATTAACTGGAAGCCAAAAGAGGTTATGACTTGGACCTACTAACCAGGTCAATTAAGCAAAAGTAGAGGTTAACTAAATTAAAATCAAGAAAGAGGTTCAGCAGACGTGTTTTGGCTTCAAGTAAATATGTCTAATCTCCCAAACAAAACTTATATATTCAGAATAATTGAAGTAAAAAAATCAACACAGCCTTTTAACTGTCTTTTACTGTGTCCTTTCAAAGGATAGATGAGCATCTAACCTTATATACAGAAGAATTTCTACGTATATTGTAACAATGGTTTACCAATCATAATCACAGGAGATCTGCTACAAAAAAATTATATGAAGATGACAAGAAAGAAAGAGATAAGTTGACCCAACAAAGATATATCAAAGTGGGTATCACCAAAAAAAAAAAAAAAAAAAAAAAAATCAAATCTAATGAAATGTGAAGTTAAACTAAATTGCATCGCATAAACTGTTTTTTCAACTTAAATCATTCACTAAATGCATTTTATACATTTCTAGGTTACTAGATAGAAAAAACTCTAGTACCAAAAGTTGTCATATTATTAACCAACCTAATCATTTTAGTCTAATTCTATAACAAAACCAACTATCTCAAATCTATAAGTTAAAAATCCTTACCATTAGAGCTGGAATTTCTCTCCCTGGTATAGCTATGGTTCCGCCAATCAGTTATTTCTGATGCTTTCTCCAACCCTTTTGACCTATATGGAGCAATTATGTGTATTGTGTGCTGAAGAGATCCTAACAGATCACCTTCAATGCATTCATACCTGCATAAAGTACACATTAAGCAAGTAAATGAAGTGTCCATGAGATATATCTTTATACACTAGGAAAAGAACAGATAACAAAATATGATAAGCATCTGCCAGCACTATACATTTTCCTGCATAAATTGTCAACAATGGTCATCATCGTTATTATCCGCATTCTTGTTTCTAAAACTTTGTCATCGTCAAGAGTATGAAATGGCTCCTCTAGACACATTGAAAGTTTCTCAATATTGGCCTCTAATTGCTGTTGCTGGTCTTCAAACAAGTTCTTTATTATTTCTCTTTCCTCCTTTGACATTTCATTCCTAAACAGCTCATTACCAAACATGTAATAAGCAAATGGGTATGAATATGACAAGATACGTCTGGACCTAAACAATCTGTAAAGTCCATTTGTCACCCAGCTGAAGTCCTTGGAGGTTGTATCCCTGTCTTCCAAACTTGATATCTTCTCCTTAATAGTTTCCTCCAGTTTAGCTTCGAGCTTATATGAATCTGTGTGAGCTTTATAACGATTATGATAGTGAATATAACGCCACCATTCCAACTTTGCATGCTCAGCTTTCTTTAGATCATCTTCTTTGAATCTCCCGCAACTGTGACCGGCAATAGTAGACCATGTGTGCTCTCTACCTGTAGCTCCACCACAAAGCCAGCTGCATCCAAAGACCAATAAAAGACTAATTCACAAACAAGTACTCTAGGAGAAATCAAAATTCCAGTTACAGTCAAAACCAGCATAATCAGCAGAGTTCTAACATCCGTCTACTTTTTGTATAACTCCAAGAACTTTAAAAGATGAAGGAGCTTGTAATGTGATTATGTGAAAAGGTTAACAAAAAATGAAAAGTAAATGAGGTTAAACAAGTAGCTTCAAAACCACAAAATATGTTCCGCCATTTAAGTTTCTATTGAATATGGAGTAACCAATGTGTCAACTCTGTCATGCAACCACGCAAGAAAGCTATTTAACACCAAAAGTATCTAAACTTACAGATTGAAAGTAAAAATAAGCATGCAATTGCTACTTACCAGACACAAGATATAGTCATATAGCTAGGATTAGAAATTAAGAAGCCTTTAATCACACAAAAATATGGAAACAGACGAGTTACAAACCTTGTATTTTTGCATGTGCTCATAATGTGTATGTATACACACTGAAACACATATATGATGCATGCATACACACCGGAACACATAAATGATGCATACATACAAATTAATACACACCAAGCTAAGCTTGACCTAGTGGAAACTAAAAAGGAGAGCATCTTCCAACCATGAGGTTGGAGGTTCATTTCCCACTAGGGAAAATTTGAGGAGCAGATTTCCTTACCTATCCCACACTTTCCCATATTGTCTAGCACGCTTACACGGGCCAAGTCGACTGAGCAGTTCCAGCCCGATAGGTGATGCGTGCATCAATGTGAACGATGAGCATGTTGAAGAATTATTCCAAGAAAGTCAAGAAAGCATGAATCTATACTTGGAAGCTTCTTCAATAGGTCAAACTTACTATCGGGGGCATCAAGACAAAGCCACGCTTTGTATGGTGGCGTTCTTGGGAGTTCTTGAAGCTTCTTGATAGTTCTTTAAGGTTTCTTTAAAAGCTTTCTTAGGTTTTTGCTTACAAGTTTTTACCTTTCACTTGAAAGGGTTTTTCTTGTTTTAAGCACTTAGGATTTCTAATTGCATTAGGAATTGTTTTAGTCTAGTAGGCGTCAATAATAGCTTGGAGTGCAAGCTTGAGTTAGGATAAAATAGGCAAGTTTTATCTTAAGAGTAGTTAGAGTTTAAGTAGGATTAAATAACTAAATCAAAGTTATCTAAACTTGATTAAGTTATGCAATCCGTGGGTTTTTGTTAGGGGATTAGAATTCTAATTCAAGTGGGATTAGGATAATTGATTGAGTTTATAAATATAGGGTTGTAATCTTCGAATAATATACAAGTTTAATCATACATTCATAATAATATTTCTTATTGCTTTTGTTTAAGTTGGATTACTTAAATTCTTGATTGGTGGATTCCAATTTGCTGTTTTGTTTGTTTTAGTTAAAACAATCACCTAGGTTGATTAATTAGGTGGATTCTTGATTAATTAATCTAAGTTTCTTGCTTAATTCTTGGTGAATTTTCTGTATAGAATTAGGTTAGATTCATATCTTTGTGAGGCTTAGTTTTCGGACTAAAAATCACATCATCTTGGTATCAGAGCACGGTTTCGGTAGAAAATAAACTGGTAACGTTTGGCTGGGAATTTTTGAGTGATTCTTTTTGCATTAGTCTCTAAAAACGTCTAGCTATCACCATATAAAATTTCGTAGCTTTTGGTTGAGTAACGAACTCTGTACAGCCTTAAACTTTTGGTGTTGTTGCACTGGGTTGTGGTTGGGAGTCCGGTTTTTGTTTGCTTCAAGATTCCTTCAAGATTTGATCTTTTAATCAAGATTTTTGCATAACCAACCTGGTTTGTGTAGGAGCAATGAGTGACGAAGAAATCCCAGGGATTCCAAGGGGTTTGAACCTTGATCAAGCGCATAACTTGCGGAGGGATCGTCAAATAGAGCGATTGTCACAACAATTGCAAGAAGTATTGGCTAGGCTTGACGAACGTGACAAAACTTCATCTTCAAGGAAGAACAAATCAGTTGCAATTTCTAGTTCAAGTGAAGACGAATATGACAGGAGAAAAGCAAGTAGATCACGACATAAAGATTCATCTTCGAGTGATGAACCTAGAAGGCATAGACGGAAGAACAAGGCCAAAGATGATGACCGAAATATAAGGTTAGATTTTCCGGAATTCAATGGTAGTATGCTAGACCCCGAAAAATATTTTGAGTGGGTTAGAAGAGCCGAAACACTCTTTGATTACAAGGAGTATGATGAACGAAAGAGGTGCAAACTTGCTGAATTAAAACTCACAGGTTATGCGAGTTTATGGTATGATAATCTCAAGAAAAAGAGACGCAAGGAGGGACGATCCAAGATCACTACTTGGACACAATTGCAGAAATATATGAAGCGTCAATTTGTGCCCCATGAGTACGTGCAAGAAGTGTATCTCAAGATGCAGACTTTTAAGCAAGGAAATCAATCCGTGGAGGCTTATTTGTGTGAGTTTGAGAAACTATGTTTATTGTGTGATTTAGAAGAAATTCTAGAGCACAAAATAGCACGTTTTATTGCAGGTTTGAACGAAAATGTTCAAGAGAAGATTGAATTGCACGAATACTATTCGTTTGAAGAAGTATGCAAGGCGGCCATTAAGGTTGAAAGACAATTCAAGGCCAAGAAGACCTCAAGTGTGAAACCGTTCACACGCACGTTCACAAAGGCTAGTGACAAGCCTACCTTTGATAGGACTTCTCCTAATCCGTATGCTAAAGATAACAAACCCAGAAACGAAGCTAGCAAGAAGGTGACCGAAGATAGAAAATGTTTCAAATGTGGGAGTGTTGGCCACATAGCAAGCAATTGCTACTCAAAACGCACTATGACGGCTCAAGAATGGGAAGAAGAGAAAGCTAGGTGCGAGGGAAATAGTGACATGGAGGTTGTGGTCGAGAAAGAACGTGATTTTGAAGAAGAGGAGGGTAGTGCCGAAGAGGTTGATGGTGAAACGCAAGGAAAGAGCTTGGTTCTAAGGAGAGCTCTTCACTCTAAACCTATGCCCGTTGAAGAGAATCAAAGAGAGAAAATCTTTTTAACAAGGTGCAAGGTGGAAGATCGATTGTGTGACGTAATAATAGACTCGGGAAGTTGCACAAATGTGGTGTCTACAACTTTGATCAACAAATTAGAGTGGCCTACAACCGATCACCCAAAACCTTACAAGCTACATTGGCTCAATGATGCTAGTGACGTGAAGGTAACGAAACGAGCCCTAATCACCTTTTCAATTGGCAAATATCATGATAAAGTTTTATGTGATGTATGCCCTATGGATGCTTGTCATATCTTATTGGGTAGACCATGGCAATATGATAGATTTGTCAAGTTTAATGGTAGGACAAATGTGTATATAATTCGAAAAGGAAAGGGGGAAAAATCATATGCATTGAAACCACTTGTTGATCATAGAATTAACCCTAGTTCAAAAGGTGCATATTTAATTGGGGAAAAGGAGTTGGAGAAAGAGATCAACAACAACAATATAGTATATATTATGGTGGCTAACAATGTGCAAGTGAATGAAAGTAAACAAGAAAAGAGGCCCGTGGAATTAGAAGTAGTATTGCAAGAGTATTGTGATGTTTTTCCTAGTGAATTACCACCGGGATTACCACCAATTCGTGGTATTGAACATCAAATTGATCTTATTCCGGGAGCTCCACTACCTAACAAGGCAGTATATAGAAGTAATCCGGAAGAAACAAAGGAAATGCAACGTCAAATAGAGGAATTGATGCAAAGAGGCTACGTGAAAGAGAGTATGAGCCCATGTGCCGTGCCTACATTGTTAGTTCCAAAAAAAGATGGGAGTTGGCGTATGTGCATTGATAGTAGGAGTGTGAACAACATAACCATCAAGTATAGATTTCCTATACCTAGACTTGATGATTTGTTAGACGAATTGCATGGTTCAAAGCTATTTTCCAAGATTGATCTTATGAGTGGCTATCATCAAATACGCATGAGGGAAGGAGATGAATGGAAGACGGCTTTCAAGACTAAAGTGGGGTTGTATGAGTGGTTGGTCATGCCTTTTGGTCTAACCAATGCGCCCAGTACATTTATGAGATTGATGAACGAGGTGTTGAAACCATTTCTTGGAAGGTTCGTAGTTGTTTACTTGGATGACATATTAATTTATTCTGAAAATTTCAATGATCATCTAATGCATTTGAGAAGCGTTTTGGAGGTTCTTAGGGAGAAGAAGTTGTACGCAAAATTGGAAAAATGTTATTTTCTTGTTCCTAGCGTGACGTTTCTAGGGTATGTAGTATCCAAAGATGGTGTGTCCGTGGATCAATCCAAGGTTGAAGCTATCAAGACTTGGCCCGTACCTACCAATGTGAGTGAAGTTAGATCGTTTCATGGTCTAGCGTCGTTTTATAGAAGATTTGTGAAGAATTTTTCCACGATAGTTGCACCTATGACTGAATGCTTGAAGAAAGACAAGGGAAGATTCGAGTGGACCAAGGAAGCCCAACGTGCATTTGATTTGGTCAAAAGGAAGCTATGTGAAGCACCCGTACTTGCATTGCCGGATTTTTCACAACCATTTGAGGTAGAGACCGACGCTAGTGGTGTAGGGATTGGTGCCGTTTTGGTTCAAAAGAAGCGCCCTATTGCCTATTTTAGTGAGAAATTAAACGGTGCTAGATTGAACTATTCTACCTATGACAAGGAGTTCTATGCTATTGTGCGAGCATTGGACCATTGGAGTCACTATTTGCGCCCAAATCACTTTGTGTTGCATAGTGATCACGAAGCTTTGAAGTACATTCATGGTCAACAAAAATTGAACCCTAGACATGCTAAATGGGTAGAGTTTCTACAAGCTTTCAATTTTTCTTCAAAGTATAAGGAGGGGAAAGCAAATGTAGTGGCCGATGCACTATCTAGAAGACACACGTTGCTTGGAGTGTTGAATTGTAAACTACTTGGTTTCGCGTTAATCAAGGAGTACTATAAGGGGGACGTG